AAACATTAAAAAAAGAATCAGTTGTTCAACAGAATCTCAATAATTTCTAAAACCTAAGACTAAAAAAAAAAAAAAAATTCACCAAAGGTCAACATAGAGAGAATACTGCAGATGCAGTGAACAGTCTACTCAGCAGTCTTGTCATATAAATACAGTGAATCACACATAGAGTTTCACAAACAGGCTTCTGTAACTTAGGCCAAGAGGACTTAACAAACACAATTAGTAAGATCAATTATCTAGCATGATTAACATAATTCTTGTTCCATGTAAAATGCTCTCAGATCAGCTAGTTTAATCCTGAGGGAAATTTTAGATTACTCTAACTCTGAATGTAAAAGATTTTATATTGTTCAAGAAATCTAAAATCTACACTATTTTCCCTGGTTGTGCTTTTGATTTATATTGGGTAATGGTGAGTTCAATATTACACTCTCTAAAAAGTATTTGGATTACAGCTACTGTGTGCTGCCATTTATACATAGAGCTGTTTAATAAATAATCCAAATAGAGTGACTATAACAAAGAACAATGTAGTGTGTATTTCAAAATAGCTGGAAGTTTTTGGTGTTTTCAGTACAAAGAAATGATAGATATTTAAACTAATAAATATGATAACTACCCTGATTTGGTCCCTATACAATGTTTACATGAATTAAATATCACACTGTAACCCCTTAATATGTATAATTATTATCTATCAGTTATACATAAAAAATTAAAATTGATAGTATGTTTTACATCCTAAAAAAGTGAAGAATCTAATAAGATTAGAAGATAAAAAATCAAAATACTGTTTCTATTTATAAATTTTCTCGAGTGAAAGGAGGAAGGATAAAGTAGAAACGCATTTTGAGATCTCTAATGGTTCCTAATTTATAGAAGCAGTTGAATCAGGAAAGAGTCAGAAAAGGAGATGGATATTTATTGAACATCTCCTAATCTTTACTTTATAGTTATCAAAGAAAACATTACTTATAAATAAATACCTAATCACTATTAGGTATCTGTTTATAAGGAGTCAGATGATGAGAAATTAATAGACAAATGTTCACAGGTTATTACATCTGAACACCCAAATATATGGGGGCTTGGATGAAGCCATTTTAAATGAAAATTCTGGTCTTAAATTAAAATTTTCTTGATGGTAGAAACTGTTTTTGCCAGAGGAGTTAGCAAAAATATCCCTATTTCATGGATATTTACATTTTGTGATTATTCCTGATGCCAACAGAACCTAACAAAACATAAAATAAGAGACCTTCAAACCAATGAAATAAAATAGCACCTCTGTAAACTGGCTATGCTTGATAGTTAATGTGATAACACTTTTAGCTTCATTGATTACCAGCTAGAAGATGTTTCTCTTCCTTTTTGTTGGACAAAGGTGGGAGGGGGGAAGGGCCAATGTAAGGGGAGATTGAGCCCTAGAAGTATTATCTGGTATAGTTACCAAAACAAACAAACTAAGGCACTAAGCTAAGGCATCAAAATCTCCACCTGAAGTTCTAATTTTATTCAAATGAGAAAGTACCTGAATGTCAATGTTTCTAGAAGACCATGAAATATTTAGTTTAAGAGACTATTAAACTAAAAACAACTTGGTATAAATTCTTGCTTAAATCAAATGTCATCTTATATTAAATTCTTCTATAAAGAAATATAAGCTAAAATATTTTTAAATATAAGAAAACATTTACTGGGCAGCACCTGTCACTCAGTAGGTGCGTAGGGTGCTAGCTCCATATACCAAGGGTGGTGGGTTCAAACCCGGCCCTGGCCAAACTGCAACAAAAAAATAGCCAGGCATTGTGGCAGGTACCTGTAATCCCAGCTACTCAGGAGGCTGAGGCAAGAGAATCACCTAAGCCCAGGAATTGGAGGTTACTGTGAGCTGTGATGCCACAGCACTCTACTGAGGGTGATAAAGTGAGACGCTGTCTCTTAAAAAAAAAAAAATTACTATTAAACACATTTATTTTTTCTGGCCCTTGGAAAAGTTTGTCACAAGTAGAGGATATATTAAAGAGAAAATAAAAACTGAGCAGCTCAGCCTGGACTATTAAAAAAATTACCAAAAAAGTATCTCTATGCATCAGCTAGAATGATTACATTACTTGGAAGGAAGATAAATCCGAGTGATTTTTTAAGTGCTTATTGATGTTATATTTGTATTGAAACTCTTTCCTATTATACAAGTCGCATTGTTCTTCTTTTCTGTGTTAAATAATATATGGAAGGATGAAAGAACTTTGTAATTGCACGCAATGCCTCACTTCTCTCTTAGATTTCTATAGTAACTTACATTAGGCAAGAGACAAGTCAACTGTTCTCATAAATGTCAACATCTAAAAAGTAGGCCTGAGAGACACGGCTATTGATAGAGAATATACTGGCAGATCACGGTGCCGTTTGTTTCTAAAACCAGCAGATTTTTCTGTTAAACTGTTATACATATACATTGAGATTCCTTCATTTATCGAAATTGAGTGAAAGGTCTCTTCCTAAGAGTAAAGGGATTTCTTGATCAAAAAAGCTTCAACTGCAGAACAATTAAAAGAAAAAATATATTTAACCATAGTAACATTAACTTCAGTGATATTACATTCTAATTACTCATGGTAGCCCCTAAATCACAAGACATTTTCTAGGCCCTGTTGAGCACAGCAATTCAATTCACCCCTATCCCAGAGAGTAGATGTCTTGCAAACTAGCCCAGCAATATGTCCCATATTTATTAAATTCAATGTGCAATTAATAATTTTAGAGGAAAAAACCCGCCTAGTCCAGGTAGATGTTGACACACAAAGATACACAGCTCCAATATTTTTAAAAGGTGACTTGGAATCAGTTAGATATTGTTTCCTTACATTTTAGTCATCTCTTATTTTCTCCTATTTCCAGGGGTTTGATCTTTTCAATAAGAAAAGAACTTCCCAATATTAGATGAGTTCTGTCTCATACCTAGAGCATTTGAGAAGCAAGCAGTGAGGCTGACATCCCCGGAGGGAGTAACTGGGGGCAGAAAAGAACTTCCCAATATTAGATGAGTTCTGTCTCATACCTAGAGCATTTGAGA